GTTATAAATCAGTAAAATGATTCTCTTATTTATTAATGCTTATAATTCTGTAATGTTGGTATTGTTAGGTCATTTTGCCCATGAAGAAGAAAAAAAAGGATGAAGTGACTTGCCCAAGTCACTTAACCAGTCAGCACATGCACAGCTAGGCCTGAAATTTATGTCTTCTGCCTCTAAATCTATACGCTTTGTCAAGTGTACCATACTATTATTTCCAAATGTTTTAAGTGGAATACTATTCTATTAGATGGTAATTTAAACCTGCATAACGAAACATACATTGCCTCTTGCTAATATGTTTTTCCAGGATTCATGAATAAATGCTGTACTCTGGAATCAATGAAGTAACTGCAACATGACGTGGAGTTTTTTTCATTAACTACAACTCTAGTAGTTTCTCTTCTGTTAAGTTACACAAGGTCAAAATTGTGCCAGAGTTGAACAATGCCCATTTCACATCATTTAATATATATATGTGCTTTCTATATGGTAAAGCACTTCTGGCATTTCTTTTTCTCTATTAACACAAGTTTACTTATCCTGGGGGTTATCATCTGCTCAGTGCTATTCCTGATACTATTGAAAAAAGATTGGATTAACACTGCCAATATCTCAGAAATTGAAAACATTCCCTGGGGGGATTCAATATAATTTTAGGTATATATCTCCTTTTACTTTACTTGGAAGTATATAAATATTTATGTTTAATTTTAATAACATGTAATGTCCTTCATTTAGAGTCAGACTTGACCTTTTAGAAGAAAATGCCATTTAATGCTGTAAATTACTGAGCAGTGCTTTGTGTAATATGAAAAAAAAGTTTAGAATAACCATTCAAGTCTATTATTTAGTGATACTCTTCATGATCTCTGAAGCCATGAACAGACACTAACTTAGTCTTTAGGGAAGTTACTGCTGGGCCAGCATATCAAAACAATGACAATATGATGGCACTTTGTGTAAAACGGTTTTCTAAGCTGAAACTATCTAAGGGTTGAAATCCCCAATCACATGAGAATTCTCAAACCTGGCAGAAATCAGATAGCCATAGGGTATGAATATATGGCAGTGTCTAAGCTATTATGCTCTGGGAGCAGAAGGGAAAACGATAAAAATAGAATAATCAAGAGGTCTCACAATGGACTATTTGGAACAATTGACCAACCAGTTGATTTCTCAGTCATAGGGACAATGCTACATGAATATCAGCATAAGAATTGCATTCACCATCATTGTTAATGGTTACTGTTAGCTGTTATTAGTAGCGAACATTGATTATGCAGTAAAAATATACCAGGATATACCAGGCACAATGCTGATCATTATTCATATGTTACTTCATTTAATCCTTAGAACAATCTTATGAGGCAGGAATTAATTTCTTGCTCACTTCATGGAGGAGACAACATGTTTTGTGGTATTAAACAACTCGCCCAAGTTTGCACCACTAGTAAAAAGAGAAAAAAAATTAACCACAATTTCAAGCAGAGTGTAGTTTATGAGAAATTACTGTGCATAAAACTGTTAGCACTTTGTAAGCTCTTTATATCGTCCAACCTGTCCATTCTGTTTTCCTTTCATGACAATCTATTTTCATGGGGAACTCCGGACTCTATCCACTAGTGGTGGATGCTTACATCTTTCTTAGTCAAGGGCAAAAAATGGAAAATAAACTAATAAGAACACAGATTCTTCAGACAGTCTGTTAGCAATACAACCATATGATCTTTTGCACCGTTATAAGCCACACAGATTTTATATAAGATAAATAAATGATTTGCGGAATTGTTCAGTTTGCTTTGTTGTGTAGTGAAGAATCATCTGAGAACTTCAAGCTCTGTAACTCTTTGGCTGATTAAGGCTCTTAATCTTTGGCAGGTAGGACAGATTTATCTATCATCATCAGTCTATCATCTATCTATCTATCTATCTATCTATCTATCTATCTATCTATCATCTATCTATCAGTCATCTATTTACCTAATGATTTTATTGGGCTATAATTTACATAGAAACTCCATTTTAGGTAGAAATTCTTTAAATGTAGAAGGGAATCACAAGATAGAAAACACTTAAGAGACTACAATGCCAAAAACAGTTTCATATTGACAGACTAAACATATGCTAATTGAAAACTTTATTCATAGCAATTAGGACAGGGTCTGTATCCTGAAAAAAAAAAGTCTTTAAGCTGCACCTGGGTGGCTCAGTTGGTTAAGGGTCTGCCTTTCGCTCAGGTCACGATCCCACTGTCCTGGGATGGAGCTGCATTGGGCTCCTGCTCAGCAGGGAGTCTGCTTCTCCCTCTGTCCTTCACCCTACTTGTGCTCTCCCTCTCTCAAATAAATGAATAAATAAAATCTTTTAAAAAAGGTCTTTAGACTTGTCTAGGGTGGGGGGATGGGTTAGCCTGGTGATGGGTATTAAAGAGGGCATATTCTGCGTGGAGCACTGGGTGCTATGCACAAACAATGAATCATGGAACACTGCATCAAAAACTAATGATGTAATGTATGGTGATTAACATAACAATAAAAATTATAAAAAAATAAAAAGAGTCTTTAGACTTGTCTAAACTAAAATTTTCAAATAGTATGCAGACTATTTAAATGGTGTCTTTTCTTAATAGTAAATGGGATTGTTTTATGCTGCCAGATCTTCAGATCATTTTTAGGACAAGTTATTACAAACTATTTAATATTTACAATAAAATATTGTATCTTGTATAAATTATAAAAATGATTTGAGAAAATTATCTTTTAAAATTCACATTTGATCATAAGGATGTACCTAGTGGAATAACTTGCTTAACTGAGTAGTTGAACATAGTGGTGATAAAGGTATGGTTGTGGTCTGGTTTCCCTTTAGGTAAGGCTGTCTCCTTTGATTTAGCTCCATAGACTAATATTGCTCCCCTCCCGTTTTGCATATTCACACAGTTGGCTTTTGAATCTAAATGAATAGTTTATACTTGTAGTTTGGTCATGAATTTATTGTAAGACCATGGGAAAACCAATGTCTCTCTAAATCCAAGAAGATGAATTAAGAACATAAACTGGTATCCGCTATGTTTGAGACTTAATGATATTGCCTGAGGATACAATAATACGCAAACCTGAGCACCTTTCCTGCCTTCATGGAGGAAGAGAGGCAGACATGAATCAAATACTGTCATCACAAAGAAAGACGGCAGTAAAAAGCAGAAGTGCTGTGAAGGATACTGCTGGGTGCTGAGAGAGGGGAACAGAGGAACTTAATTTAGTCTGAGAGTGGTGTTCATGCTGAGAGCTGAGGGATGAAGGCAAGTTAACTAGAGGACAGAGGGAGGAATGAGAAGAAGCAGCATGGAAGAAGGTGCTGAGGGAGGAGGGTACCCGGTGTTCTTGTGGAGCTGAGAAAGGAGCTGCGTGGCTGGAGCAAACGAACCAGGACCATCCAAGGGATCATGAAGTTTCTTCCCTATTAAAAATGTCCGTTATGAACTATTTTTCCAAGTTTGCATTTTTTTTACACCTTGGGATTTTTGTTGTTGTTGTTTGACTAGAACGTGCAACTGAAAAGCTTAAAAGATATTTACCTCATTTTTATGTGTGTGGTCTAATGATCTCTGTACAGTTGGCCCTTGATTTGCATATCTCAGAATTTCAACCCATGTTTAGTTAAATAACACGTCTTCCCACAGCACAAATCAAATTTCAGTTGCCACATAGTAACTGTAATTTCATAAAGTCCAAACTTGGCTGCTAGTTTTTCAGTCCACAAAGCACTGTGCAAATAACAGGCGCATCATGATCAGTGCCCGGTCACGTCACTTCATTCAAAGTCTCTCCGGTTGCCGCGCATCTGTTATACTGCGCAAACCGGACGGTAACTCGTAGTTGTATTGTCTCCTTGTTGCCAGTGATAAACCTTGACAAAAATGGGTAATCAAAAGAGGAAACTGGCCAACAAAGATGGAAGTGCAGCAAAGAAGAGAAGAGGGATAACACTGGAAGTGAAAAAATTAAGTGGGATGGAACTGTGCAAGAAAGAGCTGACCGGGGACTGTTGACACTCTTCTACTGGAGAGACTCTAGATACCGAACCAGAGGAACTTAGGAAAAGCAACAGATTGACATAAATGAGGAAAACAGTTGTGAATGGATAAAGAGGGATAACGATGCCCCAGAAGAAGTGACACTGGCAAAAGAACCACAGAGATAGTTCACAATGCTGATAAACTGTTGGAGCTGGTCCAGCCTTCCAAAGGAGTAGGGCACCTCACCGAGGCACAAGAAGGATGCTAGCTCCGTAGAGTAAGTTGTACAGAAGGCAAGTCCTGCTCAAATTACCTTTGGACAGGTCTTTTTACAAAGAACTAAAACACATGAATTCTCAATATTTTTACTGTCTTTAAATTATAGTGTACTTAAAACAATTTTACTGCATTTCTCTATTATTTATAACCAACAGTAAGAGAATTTTTAATGTGTTTACAAACATTTTTAGAGGTGATGGAAGATTGTTTTTTCCACTTATTATTAACATCACTTTGTATGGTTTCCTTTGTGATCCAACACTACTATGCAAAGCAAGAACCGTCTGTAATTTTTACTGAATCTAACCAATCTAACCAACTAACACTGCAATGTGTCATACTGAAAACAGATATTTTAGAAGGTTGGACTCATTTTCCGAGTTTACAAAACTTTCAGTCTTGAAGAATCTTAAGTCATCAACAGACCTGGAAAAGAATATTGGCTCATTAAATTTTGGGGATGTTATTCAAATATTCCATAACTGAACTTTTGGCTTAAGAACCTCTGAAGTCCTAAAAGTCCAAGATGTACTACGCTTCAGTAAGCACAATGAACATAAGAAAATCTGTCTACATTATATTTTTTGGGAGTTAGTAAAGAATTTTCTTTATTTTAAACATCAATCAAGAATACCGAATGAAATATACAAAGCAATTAAAAGAATTTAAATCAAAGGAAAACAAGAATGAAAAATTTACATACCGATTGTAGAAATCTTCTCTGTAGTAATCATAGTCAAAGACATAACCACTAAGGAGGGAAACAAAAAATTAGTTGATGTTTGTTCAACCACACTAATTTTGGTATTAAGTTATGAGGTTAAAACAAGTAATTTATGTTACTTTTTAGATTTTTTTTCAATGTAATTATGTATCCAGAGAGTTTTACAAAGTAATGTCAATTGAATAGAGTGCCATGTCAAACTATCATATGTCTGACAATGGGAAGACTGATAATGGTTTGTATGGTTTGGAATGGAAGATGAGAGGAGGTAGCAAAGTAAAATTTTTTAATACTTGTAATTACATATGAATGAAGGCCATTTTTTTTCCAGACAGGGTATAATATAGTTATCCTTTCTTCCTAAGGTCTGTACAGTGAGACTACACAATGAACAAAAGTTATGGAAAAGAAAGGTTTAATGACCCATTTGCTATTAAGAATGCTAAAGAGAAATATGGTTTCTTTAGAAATTCAGCGTTCTTTTTCATTCTAAAAACTTATAATTTAATACACAGAGAAAAAAAGGCACCTTGGCTGAATCTTAGCAACAATAATTTAATATTTTAGGGTACTTAAATAGCAATTAATAAGCACATTTCAGTGAAAAGATTAAGCTTCTTAAAGGAATATATAATAAAACTGCTCCCATCTACTTATATAATTGTTGGAATTTACAAAGCCCTTTATATGAATTATTTCCTTTAATTTTAGTACGCAAAGCAACTCTGTTGGATACTGTAACTAGAAGAAACTAAGGTGCAAAGGACCTAAGTGACTTGCTCAAATTTTTATTACTAGTAAGTGACAGAGCTGAAACTGGAGAAGAAAAATCTTCTGAATCCATGTGTGGGGCATTTTCCATGGCACTGTGCAACCCTCGCCAGCCAGCAAGAAATTTACTCATGATGAAAGACGTATCTACACTACAGGGGAATAATTATTTTTAATGTCTATTCACTAATTTTTTATCAGTATGAAACATATGTAACAAAATTTACCATTCTAAACATTTTAAATATACAACTCAGTGGCATTAAGTATATTCACAATGTTGTTTAAAGATTGCCAATATCCATTTCCAGCATTTTTCATTATCCCACACAGAAATTCCATACCCATTAAACAATAACTCCCCATCCCCCACTGCCCCCAGTCCTTGGTACTCTCCATCCTACCTTCTGACTTTGCCTCTTCTAGATACCTCATATAACTAGAATCGTATAATATTTGTCCTTCTTAGCCTGGCTTATTTCAGTTAGCATAACATTTTCAAGGTTTATCCATACTGTACCACATGTGAGAAATTCATTTCTTTTTATGACTGAAAAATATAATGTTGTATATAGGTACATATCGCTTTTTGTTTATTCCTCTATTGATAGACATTTGAGTTGTTTGCACCTCTTAGCCTCTGTGAACAGTGGTAGTCCGAACATCGGTGTGCAAGTATTTGTTAGAGTCCCTGCTTTCATCTCTTTGGGGTATCTACCTAGAAGTGGAATTGATGGATCATAAAGTACTTTTACGTTTGACTTTTTGAGGAACCACCATATGACAGGCAAGTAATTTTATATTCCCCAATTGATCAATTTAACAGGCCTTAAGTTTGTAACTATTCTTATGTCAGGAGAATTGAAAGAACATACTATTTAATCTTAACAACAACCCATAAGATGTATTGTTCCAATTTTATAGGACGCTGAGGCCTAAAGATATTAAATATCTTACACAATGTAGGTTAAGTACAGTGTAGTCATTCATGTGCTCATTTATCAGAATTTGTTTGTTTTTTTTTAAAGATTTTATTTATTTATTTGACAGAGAGAGACTGCGAGAGAGGGAACACAAGCAAGGCGAATGGGAGAGGGAGAAGCAGACTCCCTGCTGAGCAGGGAGCCCGATGCGGGGCTCGATTCCAGGAATCTGGGATCATGACTTGAGCCGAAGGCAGACGCTTAACGACTGAGCCACCCAGGTGCCCCCAGAATTTGATTAAGGACATGTGTGTCAGGAACTGTATTTGCCACTTAGGTTTAGAAGCAAAATAGATATCTCACTTTGATTAAGCGCCAATTAGCAAACACAGATGACCTAATCAAATTGATCCATTTCCCTGCTATTGCCACTAGCTCACCCCACATATTACAAATTTCCCAGCATTTTGTTTCAGTAGAGTTGAGTTCAATCTCTGTCCTCTATTTAGATAGTCTTGAATACGGTCTTTTCCTTACCTATTTAATCTGTATGTTGCATTTTTTTTTCTTTGATAGTGGTAGAGAAAGATAAAAAGCTAATAAGAAAAACATTTTAAACAGGAAATACTTAGAAGTAAATGAATGGGACAGAGAGACTGAAGGGAAGAACTTTTAAAAGAGATTAATCAGAGCTGGCCTCTCTGAGGAGGCGACATACAACTGGAGGCTTGAAGGATGAGAAAGTTTAATAATCTTAATGCTTTAGCACATATAACTTTATTTTTCCTCAGATGTTTAAGAGAGCATTTCAAAGGTTTATGAGCATGATGATGAGACTATCTAATTAAAGATGTATAAATTCATCTTGATTTTATATATGTCCCCTCTCTCTTTTTAAACTCCCCGAGTGCCAAATATGACACATGGACCAATTAATAAATATGTTATTAATGTGGCTAATGATGATTCCATGTATTTCATACCTTTTGGAAATACTTCAATAATTTAATAGCCTTCTGGAAATTTAAAAATGCATGAGAAAAGAGAAATCATTTTTGTTTTTCTTAGTAGCTGCTTAAATTATCTTGTCCAATCTGCTTATTTTTTGTTCAATCCTGACTGCTATGACATATTTGCAAGAACAAGTTGTAGCTGAGCATGCTGAACTATTTGATCTCCAAGTCCCACTGTCTGCCATCAGGAACTCAATTTTACCTGTCACAGTTCAAAATGAAATGAAATGCACAAACAAGCCTGTCTTGGTGATCACGACAAGCCTGTTTTTGTCTTAATGGTTTGGGCTTTTAGCAGAAATACCACAGCTGTAGTTGGCTCAGGTCATAAGCTATAAAATCACGCTGGATTTCCAAGGAAGAAAAAAGAGATTCAAAGAAATGAAAAGAGATAACCACAGGGCAAGTATGATTTGTGACAAGTATGCTTTCCCAGTGTTCCTGCTGCCAGCTTTATTTTTTCTTTCCCTCTTCCCCAGATTTTGTCTCTCTTAAAAATCCCTTCTTTCTCTTTCTGTGTGAGGCTCTATTTGCAATTACCTGTCAAAAAATGGCATTTCCAGAAGCCATATTCAGGTTTTTAAGGCGTTTTATGTATTCTAGGATTTTTTTGGAAGGAAAAACTTGTCTTTCAAGTTTAAAAAAAAAAGATAGCCTTTCCTTTCCTCATAAACTGTTCTGTCCATGGGCTAATTTACTTTTTCTTTTTTTTAAGGGGGGGCTTTTAAGGGAGGAACCTTTGCAACTTTCATTGTAGCAGCTTTGTATGACAGTCTGGTTCTTAGGCTACTGAAACAAAATGGTCATAAGTCAGATGTTTTAGGCATTTTCCAAGAAGAAACTAAGTCCAGGAAATGTCAAGGCTTCTGTTGTTTGGAGGCATGCTCCATGGCAAGGGGCAGATACTCAACTTTTTAGAAAAGTGAAACAACAGTTTTAAATATTTCACACAAATAGTTTATATTTTTTATTTTTAAATCTGGTACACTTTCACTCTACTTTTTTTTTAAAGATTTTATTTAATTATTTGACAGAGAGAGACACAGCAAGAGAGGGAACGCAAGTAGGGGGAGTGGGAGAGGGAGAAGCAGGCTTCCTGCTGAGCAGGGAGCCCAATGCGGGGCTGCATCCCAGGACCTTGGGATCATGACCTGAGCCGAAGGCAGACGCTTAACGACTGAGCCACCCAGGCGCCCCTCATTCTACTTTTCAATGTACCTTTATTCTAACTGCTCAGTTTCCCTCAAAATTTAATGGGAAATGGGAATTAGTAAAGTAATTGTTTAGAGTTGCATACTCATAGTCTTTATTTTATTACTGAAGATTAAGTGACACCAAGTAACTTCCCTGGAATTTAATTTAAGCTTTTTCATTTACAGAAGGAGAAATCACAACTCATTAGGTTTTGCAATATGTGAGATCAAATTTATCTAATCCCTTTGAATTCATAAAACCAGCTTCATATGAATAGACTAATACACACAAGTATTTCTTTTTATTTTCCATCACAGAACTTCATTAAAATATAATCTGAAGAAAATGAATAAACTTCCCAGCACAAGGAGGGAGCATTTTAATGGTTTCATTACAGACATCCTGCCAATATTAACTCCTACTGAAGCCTTCTCAGTGACTATATCTGGCTTCCCAAATTAAACTTGATAATCAATTACTGAGTATTTTAACTCAGGCACAATACTGGGAGTTGTGGATAATAATATCAGCAGAACATGGCTTCTAACCTCAAGGAATGTCAATCTAAGTACAAGGGATGAGATAAATATACATATGACTATAATTTAAGCAGAATTTGAAAAATGCCAAAACAGATATAAAAACTGCTACGAGAGCTTATAGGCAGAAGAACTAGGATGTGGTTGGTGGGACAAAATCTCAAACGAGGCTTTGTGAAAGAGATGGCATTTGAATCGGTCTTTGTAAAGGTTAGGAATTTGACAAGTGAATGTTCAAAAGGAGACCCCTCCAGAAGACCAAGAATTGGTGGTAGAAAATGTGGAATAAATTTGTAGAACAGTGTTTTATGAAGATTAGTCTCTGTCAATAGCATAACTTTTCTTCAGAGTACCTGTGGAAGTCATGATTGCAGAAGTCATAAGGTAGGGTAATGGAATGAATTTCTAGAGCATACTTCTCCAAGGCTATTAGTAGAAGTATCCTCAGAGGTACCTATAGGATCCTATTTCTAACTTGTCATAAAATCTGGTGTAGGTTTCCAAATGTCAGAGTATATATAGTTGAACAGATTTATAAACTTTGTCAAGATAATGTGTGGACAAAAATATGTCTATTTTCTTTTAGG